CCRCAGTCCCGCGCACGATCGCGAGAAGAACTCGGATCGTTGATTTGGAAAACTCAAATCGAATCCTGGCGTGGTCACTATCTTCTGCCACTTGGTTGTCCAGTCTCGAGTTGGCATATTTCCTTGAGAGCACGTGTACACCTCGTTCATGGCCGCCTTCACGACGTTGCGGACCATGAACCGGGTGAACCATAGCTTCTTGAACTCTTTCCACGTGATGTCCGTGTGGAGTTCGGCGATGGTGCATTTGTTGGTAGCCGCCAAATGGTTCATCCAAGCCTGCGCTCCTCCAATTAGTTGCAAGTAGAGTGCCTTCATCATGTCGTCTGCCGGGACAGTGTGGCATGATATTTCCGTGAGGAAACGTTGCCACCATGTCAAGGCGTCCGATTTGTTGTAGTCGTCGAACTTGCTGATGTCGAAGTGCGGCATCTTGTAAGTCTTTGTAGCGGCGTCCGGTCTCGTCTGCAGCTTGGTGATGTCTGTGGCCACCGTGCTACTGATCGTGTCCGGCCCATTGAAAACACCTATGTCGCCAATGATGGTCACGACGTGATCGATGCGCTCATTGAGTTGCTTCGTCGCGTCTGTCGTGCAGCCTGGCGCTGCTGAGGCGTTAGCCTCAATGCTGTTGATGCGTGCGAGAGCGGACTTCAACAGCTGATGCTGTTGCTGCTGCTGCGTTGCTTCGGCGCGGATGGCAGTTGTTAAAACAGCAATGTCTTGCTGGTACTTTTGTCGCTGCTGTCGTTCCGTGCGCAAATGTGCTTGCAGCAGTGTGTTATTCCACATGATGCCTCTCATCATGCCTAGCATCAAGTTACCCAGGTGAGTCCTCTCTACCTCCGCCGGTGTCGGATCTGCCTGCGCGTCCGAAGGCACAAAGATCATGCCTTGGAGGAACGTTGTCCACTGACTTTCACTATGAATCGCGGACTCCGTACTGGCGGCATTCCGTTGGTCTCGTGCCGCTGCGTCAGCCTCAGCAGTCTGCTGAGCTTGGGTTGCCGCCTCATTGGCCAGCCGCTGACGTTCTGCCTCTGCTGCCTCCTGCTGAGGCTTGGCGGCAGCTACGGCATTTGTAAATACCTGTAGCCGCCCAAAATAGTCAGCCAACGGCTCACTGGCCCTTCGGACCGGGCATGCGGCAAGAACTCCGTTGGTATCCGGTACCGTCAATGTGGTACTCGATGCCGCTGGAGTCGTCCGCCTGCTGAGTCTCTGTTGCTGAGCCTTGGTTCGTGGAGGTACCGTAGGTCGAGCACGAACTGCGAGCCTGGCACTGCGCCGTGGCAGTGCCCCGATATCCTGTTCCATCGACATCAGTGTGGACTGATGCGGTACTTGAGAGGTCCCGGTGGTCACAGAATACGGGGAGGGTAGGGAGAGTGGGAACAGGGGTAGAACAATTAAACAATACGCATATCGTCCCCTGTCCCACTGATGGACTGTAGACACCTAATCAAACAGAAAAATAAATTTCCCGTAAACCATTCCAAAATTCGTAATAAGGAATTAATAACGATTTAATCAATAAAATTCATTAATGATAAATAACGAAATACTCCTAATGATGATCAATAAAACAATGTTTGTAATAAAGATAACCCATAATCATTATTTGCAATAAAGATAATCAATAAACAATAATTGCAATCATAAACGAATTTGAAAGGTATTATGATTAGGTCTCTTTGAGATCACTTTGAGTCCGGGAGTTCACCGTTAATGAGTGAACCACCCGGAAGTTGCAGTTTGAGGGTCAGATACGGCTTAGTGTGCTAAATTTTTTTTTGGAAAATTTCTGAAGAAAAACGCTCGAATTTTCAAAAACATGAATTTTTGGGAATTTCCGCCGTCAAAATCCGATTTTTAAAAGCCTAAACCTGTTTTCGGAATTTCTCAAACAAGGGGAACGAAAAAAAAATTCGCGAAAATTTCGGTCCCAACCCTAATTTTCCGCGTTTCCGCGAAATTTCCGCATTTACAGGCCCAAAACGTTCGAATTTCCCCAAGTTGATCTAAAACCCAAAAGATTTTCGTAACCCTAATTTCCAATACTGAAAGACAACGGAAATCCAAAAGAAAACGAAATATAGGATTTACAACAAAATGCCGAAAAACGGAATGCTGAACGGAAATCAGAAACGCCGAATTTAACATAATACTGATTCAACCCTAACTCGTGTAAAATCAGAAATCCGAAACTTAATCAATTATCGGATTAGTATCACTCAATCGGAACTCAAATAGACAGCATAACGGAAGAAAACAGAAATCCGAATTATAAGTCCGAATACCGAATCGAACGGAAATGCCAAACTAAATAGAATACCGAAAAGGAAAAAAAAAAATTGCAACTTTGAACTTAATAGTAGTACAGCGCTGATTTGGAAGATTGAGAAGGCCATCTAATTCCTAACCAGACTTACCTTTGTGAGCAGATCCGTTATATGGACTGCTCCGATACCAAAACTGTTACATACTTCAACGAGTATGGGCATAACCAAAGATCAACCAATATAGGATGAGCATATATGCAGTGGAAGTCTGATAAACGGACTGACTCACATAGACTGACTCACATAGGTATCACTCCACACTCATACAATCATGAGATGGTGGGGTCTGGGCCAAGCATAGACGATGCCCAGATCCCGTACACACATACACAGATGAAAGGTGGGAGGAGAGACGAAGGAGGTGGGGGAGGTAGACAGCACCGATAGGTCACCGGGATAGAATCCGATAGGTCACCGATATGGTAGTCCAAAATGTCATCCAACAAGATCAAAATGTCGAGGACAATCAGTCACCAATGTCGGAGATACAGAGTCCAAATGTAACCGGTGTCCGAACTGTGATGCCGCCAAGTATCAACCCCAACAATCTCCAAGTCTCCAATCCGGTAAGTACCACAGTCTCATACCACCGAAGTCCAACCCTGATCTCTGTCCAACTAGTATAACTCTCCAATCTGAAGAAGAAGAAGAAGACGATGGAATCTGTGGAGAAGAAGAAGAAGAAGAAGAAGAAGAAGAAGAAGAAGGAGAAGAAGATGGAATCTGAGGAGAAGAAGAAGAAGGGAGCCGAGGAGGGGAGAGAGAGAGAGGGGACTGGTGATGGGAGGGAGGAGAGAAGCCTCCAACTCCCGATACCTAAGGCGGCTATGGCCGCCGATACACTCAGTCGCCGCTGCTGCTGCTCCGCTCGCTGCTGCTGCGCTGCGCTGCTCCTCGCTCCTGCGCTAAACATAGCGCCAACGCTGTTTCGCGCTGTACCATACCGTACCGGTAGAATGCCGGTAGGTCGATAGCCTCAATGAGGCTGGACCAATACTTTTGTACCGGTGGGGCAGAGGCCGGCCTCAATGCTGTGAGGCCTGGCCGTGCCYTGAACCGTCMAGATGGAYGGTTCAGCCCCAACCGGCGGGCGGCAGCCTCAAGAGCGCCGCCAGGCCCAAACGGTAATGTCGTTTGGGCCTGCCCGTCGGGTCTGGTCCAAGGTAAGGCCTTTACGGCCTGTAGTACCTCCAAGGTCGGGCCTTTAGGCCCTAATATGTCCCTCTAACCCTAAGTCGGGTCCAGTAGGACCCGTGTGGCGTCGAAGATGTAACAGAGACGAAGTCAACACCCTTCCGCCACGACGCAACAACAACAACAAGAAAAAGAAGGCAAAATCTGTGTCAACAACGAAAGCCGGACAACCGAATGAGCCATGGAAGAAGTTCAGCCTCACGGAGGAGCAATACAAACTCCACCAGAGGTGGAGCTGTTGCTACTGGTGCAACATCACCAAGCATACGATGTCACAATGCCCTGACAAAGGCAAAGAAGACGTCCGTCCACGACAAAGCTCGGGAAACTGAGCTTCGCGGGAAGTGAGGTGACTCCACTTCCTACTCCGCCGGACATGGTTGCCTTGCTAGCAACCTCCTATGTCGCCAGTCTTCGCGAAGATTATGAAGACTATGTTGTCCAGCTGGTCCCGCTGTTGGACCAACCTCTCCACGTGCAAGAGTCTTATGCGTGCGCGACTTCATCACCATCGCCAAGTGAACCAGCATCCTCGCCAACATCACTCGGGGACTCGTTGGTGTAGTCTAGACTTGAGGACCTCGACCCATCGACACCGGAGAACTTCCAATGGTTGCCTCTTTCCCCATCTGGTTCCTTGCCGAAGCCGCATTGCAACACCCTAATCGTGGAGCTACGCAACTACTTGCACGCTGCAGTACCAGCTCCGTTGATGGAAGACGGAGTAGCGGTTGTTGACCTTCGTGAGTACATTGCGAAGATTGACAGCGAGTACGCCACGCAACCTTACGACGACAGCGACGCACCGTTACTCTACGTCCGATTCAAATCGGGAAGGCGACCTGCAGCGCCTTGATTGATTGTGGAGCTACTCGCAACTACATCAGCCACGACTTCATGACCCGCGCCGGTCTGGGGCCGCGCGTTCAAAGGAAATCGCAGCCCACGCAAGTCACGTTGGTCGACGATCGTACGCACAAGTCCATTGACCGGTGCATGTGTACTTCGCCCCGCTTGCACGTGAGGTCGTGTCCTTTGACATATTGGACACCAAGTTCGACATGATTTTGGGCATGTCATGGCTGCGCAGCGAGGACCACCCGGTGAACTTCTACCGCCGCACCGTTCACGTTCATGACCGGAACGGGGTACGCGTGCCATTTACGGTCCCCCCACCTCATCCTTCGATTGGTTGTCACGTGGTCTCCGCGGCAAGCATTCGCAACTCCATCGCACGGAACAACGTGGAGGAAATGGGCATTTGTTTCTTGCACACCCTCCATCCTCCCGACGAGCCAGCGACGGAACAGCCACCGGATCCATGCATTGTACAGCTTCTTGACTCCTATGGCGACGTCTTTGAAGCCCCCGCCGGAATCGTACCAAATCGGCCAATTCGTCACGAGATCATCCTCGAAGACGGCGTCGTACCTCCGTGCGGATGTATTTACCGCATGAGCGACGAGGAACTCGAAGTGCTTCGATCGCAACTCGATGACCTCATTGACAAGGGCTGGATTCGCCTTAGCTGCTCGCCCTATGGTGCACCTGTTTCCTTCGTTCGGAAGAAGAACAAGGAGCTACGTTTATGCATATCGCAAGCGTAATGCTCGAACCATTAAGAATGTCGGCCCACTTCCACGCATCGACGATCTTCTCGAACGTTTGGGCGGCGCCAAGTATTTCTCCAAGTTGGACCTCAAATCTGGTTACCACCAGCTCGAGATCCATCCAAGAGATAGGTACAAAACTGCGTTCAAGACACGGTACTGGCACTTCGAGTGGGTCGTAATGCCATTCGGCTTCACGAATGCCCCGACCACCTTCCAAGCGGCAATGACAACGGAGTTTCACGACATGTTGGACCGGTTTGTGCTCATCTACCTCGATGAAGGTGTGTAACCGAACTTTGGACGAGCACATCGTGCATCTACGTGTTGTTTTGGACAGGCTACGTACAGCCAAGTACAAGGCCAATCGAGCCAAGTGCGAATTCGCACAGCAAGAGCTTGAGGACTTGGGCCACTTTGTGACACCGCAAGGCATCAGTCCACTTGCGGACAAGATCAAGGCCATCCAAGATTGGCCGGAACCGACCAGCACCACGGAGGTTCGCTCTTTTATGGGATTGGCCGGGTACTACCAATGCTCCATCAGCGGATACGCACGGATCGCCGCACCCTTGTCAAGATTGCAGTCTCCACAGGTGCCCTTCCACTTCACCGATGAAGTCCGCAGTTTGTTCCACAAATTGAAGACGGCGTTGCTCCTCGCTCCCGTCTTGAGTATCTACGATCCCACCTTGCCTACGAGAGTGACTACGAACGCTTCCGGTTACGGCATGGGTGCAGTATTGGAACAACACGACGGAGTAGATTGGCATCCGGTTGAGTACTTCAGCCAAAAGGTGCCTCCCATCAACTCGGTTGATGATGCGCAAAAGGAGTTGCTCGCGTTCGTCACGGTACTCAAGCGTTGGCAACACTTCCTCCTTGGGTGTCGTAGGTTCACTTGGGTGACGAATAATAACCCATTGACCTACTACAAGACGCAAGACACGGTGAGCAGCATGATTGCCCGATGGATGTACTTCATCGATCAGTTCGACTTCACACCGAAACACATTCTGGGCCTCTCCAACCGAGCCGCGGATGCTCTCTCGCGAAGATCAGATCTTTGCGCAGTGACTCACCATGCGTTCAGTTTCGACGAAGCCCTTCATCAGCATTTTGTGCGAGCATACAAGTACGATCCGGAATACGCCACGCTCTACGAGCAACTATCCTCGGATCACCCGTCGGCCAGCCATTATCGCATCGTCGATGGCTACCTGCTGCTTCACTCACGAGGCAAGGACTTACTATGCGTCCCACACGACCGTCGCTTACGGACTCATCTCCTCGGCGAGTACCACGACTCGAGACTCGCCGGCCACCTCGGAGTCAACCGTACGATCGCAAGACTTCGGCAGCGATTCCGGTGGCCTGACCTCATTACCGACGTCACTCGGTATTGCGACTCTTGCGAAGTTTGCCGACGAAGCAAACCCCGCAATCGCAACCCCTACGGTGAGTTATGCCCGTAGCCTATTCCACGGGAACCCGGTCTCTCCATTGCCATGGACGCCACTAGGCCGTTCCCCCGGGACCGCTTCGGGCACGACGGCATTCTCACGGTCGTTGACCGTTTGAGCAAGTACGCATGATTCCTTCCTTGCAAGTACCACGCCACGGCTCCGGAACTTGCACGCCTCTTACACACCGGCTGGATTTGTGGCCACGGCGTTCCGGAAGACATCGTCAGCGAGCGCGACACTCGGTTCATGTCGGCATTTTGGACCTCTCTCATGAAAGAGTCCGGCACCGAGATGAAACCAAGTTTGGCTCGACATCCGCAAACGGACGAGCAGACGGAGCGGGCACATCAAACCGCTCAAGTAATGCTTCGCAAAATAATCCGTACGGATCAGAAGGATTGGGTGGACCGCCTCCCCGACATCGAATTCGCCTACAACACTTCGGTGCACTCGGCGATCATCGTGACTCCGTTCGAGTTAGACCACGGTGGCCGAAAAGGCCGCATCTTCGCTGATCTTCCTTTTCCAAGGACTGCCGACATTGACGCCGCTTGTTCGCCCGCCTCCGTTCGGAAGTATAGGGACTTGCTGGCTAAAGCCCGCGCCAACATGCAAAAGGCTCAAGTCCGCATGCAACAACAAGCTAACAGGCCTCGCGTGCCATGCCCCATCCGCGCCGGCGACCTTGTTTTGGTCTCCACGGAAGAGTTTGCACTCGAGCAGGATGTATCCCGCAAGCTACTTCCAAAGAGGTTTGGACCATGGCCCGCCACATCAGCCGCGGGTGATGAGCCACATGGCCCTTCATTCGTGATCGAAATCCCGCCGCACCTCACGGTGCACCCGGTTTTCCACGCCTCCAAGTTGGCCACATATACACCGGCCAAGAGCGACGACTTCCCGGGACGACGATCACAGGACCCTCCTTCCATGGATGGTCATCAAGAAGTCGTCCGCGTCATCACTCATCGCAAGCACGACAACAAGCCTATGCAGTACAAAGTCACATTTAAGTGGTGCGACCCCGATGACACGCGATGGATTTCCCGGGCAGCTTTGCGAGGCTCCGCTCCTGACATCTATGCTCATTATGAGAAGAAACGGCTAGCGACGGAAGTTGCGCAGCCTCCCACCTAGACTTCAGTCCCTCCCTCCACCTGACAGCTTCGCCCTCGCAGGTAAGCTCGGTCGTTCAAGGAGGGGGGAGTGTGGCATACTCCGTACCACACGGGCCCAGCAGAGCCCGACCTGGTAGACTAAGGGTCCGTAGGGGTAGGGCCTGTCTCAGGCCCTGTGTCGTTTCGGCCTCCAGCCTGAAAACAACGCACCAGACCGGGGTTTTGGCTCAGGCCTTTAAGGAGTATTTTGTGGAGCGTCAACCCCAGGGTCTGGCACATTTTGGCAAAGGCACGAGCAGCCTCGCTCACGGGCCAGCACTCTATAATGCTGAGCCGCCCTGCACGCTGCAGGCAGTTCCTAGGCACTTCACGTGCAGAAGGCATGAGGTAGTCTTCAGGACTCAGCAGCGCCACTCTGGAGTAGTACCGATAGCAGTAGTCTTCAGCGCCAGGCGCTAGTAGGAGAGAGAGAGATGGTTGGCGGAGGCCAGGGATACTCACTTGTGGCGCCATAGCTCCACCTTCGTCTTCGAGGTACCTGCAGCATAGCGCCACCTTCCAGGTTGGTATCGGAGAGAGAGAGAGAGAGAGAGAGAGAGAGAGAGAGAGAGAGAGAGAGAGAGAGAGAGAGAGAGAGAGATTCATCTTCACCTTCTTCGAAGTGTTGGTTCAATTGTCTCCTTCTTGATCAGGACTTCCAGCGCTGCACTTCCCTGCGGGCGCTGAGCTGGTGCTACTATCATTTGAGTTGCTGGTTCAGATTGGCACGTTGTGACAACTGTGGGGTTACTGTTGCTATGACAGCCATAGCCAGGGGTATGAGGTGGCGAGGAGGAAGAAGAAGACTCCTGCATACTTTGTTGAACACTTGTTTTTGGTTGTTCGGGGTTGTTGTAAACGTGGTTGTGATTCTTGGAACAAGTACTCTGGATTGATGGAGGAGGACATGGACTTACATAATTGAAATATGTTTTTTTTCTGTGTTAAACTCCGAGCCGCCCGGCGGCCCAGCCTTCGTCCGGCAAGGGTCCCGGGCGGCCCGGCCGGTTGGGTCCCCCGGTTCAATGCCGGGCGGGCCCAACGCATTTTTGCGCGGGGGGGGGGGAGACCTGTTTCGAACCTTTTTGGGCCTTGGGAGCCTCCCGGCCCCCCCGCGCAAAATTTTTACGCTGCGCCCCGTTCGAATTCAAAGAACGAACTGCTTCCGCCGCTGCCCCGTCGAAGTGGTCGAAGTGAACCCGTGTCTGCCCGCGCTGTCGAAGTGAGATCGCCGTCGACGCCCGTCGCTGCCCGTCTTCGCCGAGGTTGTGTTCCCGCCGTCGACGCCCGTCGCTGCCCCCCTTCGTCGAGGTGCCCATCGTCACTGCCCGCCTCTGCTGCCCGTCGTCGCTGCCCGTTTCCCAGCTCGTCCTCGCTGCCCGTCGTCGTCGATACGGTTCCATTGTGCGAAGTGCCACGTGTCAGGCTCTTACTCTCTCTCTCTCTCTCTCTCTCTCTCTCTCTCCCCTTCTCCTCCTCCTCCTCCGTCATCCTTTTTTTTTTTTTTTTTCGTCGACGTATCAAGAAACCAGCAGATCCTTCTCCTCCTCCTCCTCCTCCTTTCTCCTCCCCTCATCCTTTTCTCTCCTCCTCCTCCTTTCTCCACCTCAAGCGAAGTGCCTCGTCCTTTCTCCTCCTCCTCCTCTTCCTCCTCCTTCGTCATCTTTTTTTTTTTTTTTTTCCGTCAACGCACTTCATAATCGGCAGGTCCTCGTCGTCCATTCATCTTGTCTCCTCCTCCTCCTCCTCCTCCTCCTCCTCATCATCATCATCATCATCCTCTCTCCTCCTCCCCCTCCTCCCCCTCCCTTCGTCTTATTCTCTCCTCCTCCTCCTCCTTTCTCCTCCTCCTCCTTTCTCCTCCCCTCGTCTTCTTCTCTACTCCTCCTCCTTTCTCCACCTCTTCCTCCTCCTCGTTGGTTTTCTTTATCAGGCGAAGTGCCACGTGCCACGTGTCAGGCGAAGT